ATGAGATGATATTGTAAATCTAACTATTACATTTAATTGAGTTTATATTTGTAAAACATGTATTAATGGACTTATGTTCTAAAATTAATAGAATATGTAGAGATTTTCACTATGACATGTTATTTTAATTAAAAATTTTTCATTGGTTAATTTAAATGACATATTCTTCAAAACCTTCAATGACACATAATTTTTTTTCACCAAATCTATGTATATAATTGTGAGATCGAAAATCCTACGTGTCGTCTCCAGAACGAGTTTAAAATTTGGTTTGTCTATATTACTCTTAATAAATTCATATAATTATATATCCATACCATCAGCCAATTTTTATAAAACTCAACCGTTTTAGTGCCAAAAACATGTTCGCTTATTGCGATCGACGGTGGGCTTTATTTGATTTCGTTTGTTTTATAATATGGGCTTTAATATTTGGTTTGCCTCAATAAAAAGTTTACCAAACTCTAGATCATGAAACCCTAGGGATTTGTATATCTATATATACACGTCTACTATGATGTTCTCTTCTCAATTTGTGTTTATTAAATTGTAATAGGTTTTGTATCTGTATCTCTCTCCTATATTAAATTCTGGTTTCAAATATAGTTTAATCTTATATGTTTTCCTACGACGTATGGTTTAATCTTGTATGTTTCTCCTCGAGTATGGTTTTTCATATGTTTAGTCTTACTCCTAATTTTTATGGTTCTCTTCGTTTATGGCTTTCCATGTGTTTAATCTTCTTTATGTTTTTATACTTCCTGTTATTGATTATGTTTCCGTCTTTTTTTTCACAGATTAATCTTCTCAAAGGATTCATGATGATATCCGGTATGTTCATAAAACGTCTNCATGTATATATGTCTTTATTTTTATACACTTTATTTAAAATTCTAATCGTCTTATATTTGAAATTTATATATGTAGTGTACTATCCAAGAAATTATGGTATTGTGCATGTTCTTTATGTTTACATGTTTACGTCAACGGTATGTTCTTATCAGTAGAAGACGTTACTGGTTTTTGAAGCAGAGGGAGAGAGAGAANGAGCAATCAGAGTTTGATAAGAGTCTGAGAATTTGATAAGAGCCCAAGAAGAGTCAGATGATAAANCCTAGATTGAAATACGATTAGTTTTTTCGTTATGGTAAAGTTTTTCTCTATATTTATTATAAATATTACAGCTACCTAGGGTTTAGTCACAATGTATTTATGCTCTNTTGCCTTCTTTTTTTTGGGTTAGTTTCAGGTTTTTTTCGTCTAAGGAATTTTGTCGTCATTGTTATTTGATTGTGTGTTCTTTTATGTTGTTCTTTTAATCCATGCATATATGTTTAGTTGGTTTTTTAATACATTCTCCAATATATTCAGATCTTCTTTTCTTTATTAAGGTATGTGTTTTNGTTTTGTTTGTTTTGGTTGTTGTTTTCGTGTTTTTTTGTTTTAAATATCTTTTGTTTGTTAGATCATAGTTTGATTTGTGTCCTTACGATGGATTTTCAAGTTTCTACTTAGAACGAGGATGGGAGTTGCGTTTACTTTTCGTTCCGTCTGCGATTGCATCTCTTTCTTGGCTACGGTGTTGCAGCACTTAAAGAGCCAAGTAAGAGAGACGAGAATCTTAGGATCGACGTACATTCCGAAAAATCTGCATTTTTCGTGAAGCTCCTCTTCGTATTTGTCGGTGATATGTGTTACTACCGAGAAAAAAATGACAAAGTGTGCTTTTGCATGAAACAGAGTAACTTAGAGTTTTGGAAACGAATGGTTAAGGGCATGGTTTGATAAAGGAAAGGAAAATCTTATTTTGGGAGACACAAAATTTATATGGAATAAGACATAGTTGAATCTGACTAATAAGCTTTAGTTAA